ATAAAATATGAAACGTTATATATATAATATAATATTAGGTACACAATAAGACACATTGAGTAAGTCACAATAAAGGACGCAAATATAGCGAATCACATGAATCCACTGGAGAAGAGTACCTAAACGAATTTGTTACAGTTTTATGACGAAGTTAGTGATAAAAGCGTACCTAGAGTTTTTATGCAGAGAGGATAAATTAATTAACAGTATTAACATTATTAATAATTACATGATTCATTTTGAAGTGTTGACGTTTTATTTTTCGGGAAACCTGCAGCTGAGTAATATAAATATAAATTAGGTATATGTATAGGTTGACTTGGCGACTTGGGTTATATGTGTGGAAATTAAATTTATGCGCATTAACCATTTTGAAGGTTTATCTTGAAGATTGTAAATTGTATACGATATTAAATTTATTAGGTACCTATTAACCTATTAAATTGTTAATCGTTAATACAATTGTATTATAAACCTATAAGACATGTTCTTATATACCTAATCAGAAATCATACCTCTATTTTTTTTTCATGAAAAACATATTACGACATAATAATTGATAACATGATATTATATTGTATTAAAAATTAAAACGATGTAAATCAATGATTTATAATGATATATTAGGTTATTTTAATTCTTTATTTGGATAAATAATATTCAGTTAAATAATTGTATTGCAGTAAAAACGACAACATTAAGTACCTAATGTATTAACACAAAGTTATGCATTTTATATTGCATAATGTTATCAGTTTTAATAGCAAATAGCAGATCAGAGTGCAGTGCACAGGTGGCACAGCTATTTATCCCGTTTTGTATACGTCAATAGTTTACATATAAATTGTGTCATTCATAATATATCCCTGGGTGTATCCTATGACCTATAGTAATGCAAATATGCCTCGGTGAATAAATGAAATTAAGGAAGTAAGATTATTGACTACCATGATTCTCTTAATTACTTTTAGCCTTCATAGAAATTAACGTAAATGGGTAAGTATACTACTTATGTAAAGCAAGAATATAATATTATGAACTCAATTTTTTTTCATAAGTCTTTAATGTCGTTTTATACATATAAAAATACTTATTATCTTTAATTTGTAAATTATTTATGGATCATACGACCACATAACGTATGTGCCTTAACACATAATATTATTTATATAGTATATATTGGCTCGATTGTAAGATATGATTATATAGCAAGTGTATAATATGTTCGTGTATATAAGTTCGTGACGATTATACACATTTAATGCGAAGTAATGAGTAATTTTGTTTTTGCTTAAGTATAGAACACAAGATAATGATTCATTTATAAATTAAATCTATTTAAAATAATATATATATGTACCTACCTATTTTGAGTTATCAGAAAAACGTATGACGACATTGGCTTTCGACAGTGAATTATTGTAATCTTTAACAACAAAATATAAAAACAATATTATGGGGATTTATAAATTTGTAGTCCTTTTTTAATAAGTGCAGAAAATAGATGAGTCAACATAGATAAAGTTCTAATAAAATATTTTCCAAATTTGTATGTCTCTCCAACTTGCTTAGTTATTGGAAATTTCACCATTAGATTATCAATAACTGATAAATAATAGTGTGAAATTTCCTGTTCTTTACTTTGCTCATAACGTCATACTAAGCAATATTCTGAAACTATCATGAAAAAAAAAACCACTCTATGGGTAAATCCCTCTCTGCCTATAATAATAATTGTATGTAGGTACCTGCACGGCTACGCATCTTACCGATTACCACACTAAAAAATAATATACAGCTGTAATGTATAAGAAGAAGATCGCTATAGGCCAATTTATCACTAGTCAAGCATAGCACGACCAACATAGCCATAACTGTAAATTTTTTAGGGAGCTAGAACTAATAATTATGATTTATGACACATACAATACAAATAAAAATTGCGCAATTTTTCTATAATTATTATTATGTAAAATTAATTTTTTAGAAAATATTGACGGTTTCATTTATATATTTTAATGTTATTTTACTATGAATATTGAATTTAATATCAAAGCAAGTCCTGACAATCTAACATTTCCTTGTTGATTTCTCAAAAACGATTTTAATCAACCGGCTAAATTAATCGTGGTGAAAAACTGTAAACAGTGTAAATATACATACAATTTCAGTATGGGCTCTGGCCTAGGGGGCCCCCCCCTATATACGTCCCTGCCCCCAATAACTTCCTGCCGAATTCCTAAAGAGGTCCTCCAAAAAATATAATTGGTGATCCCTGATGTTAGTGTGTACGTTATATTCGCAGTCCTTTGTACTTGACCCGTAACATATATATTATATACATATCGAAGAGAGGCATAATATGAACGAAAATATAGGTGAACCCCGCGAGAAATATATAATCCGTCATATATTTGATCATATATCCGTCATTCATATCGTCATATGATCGTCATATATTTTCTACATAATAATATAACATTGTATACTATTATAGGTACCTATCAAATATACGCATTATTCGACAGTATATTTTCTTGTTTTTATCTTTATACTTAAAATTGAATTATACCTACGTTTGAATATTACCCGGTCGGATATTATATATTATAATATTATAATGTCTATTATAAGAAAATTGTATATTTTAGTATCTCTTAATTATTTTAATTATTTTACAATGTTGGTTATTATTTGTTAAATTAAGTAATTAATTAAATCATATATATATGTACTGTTACTCCCTACACCACCACAAGCCTAGCTTAAAGGTGTAGGTAATTTTTATTATTTTCTTTAAATACTTTGTTTGTATTGTGTTTTCAAATAATAAAAAATTTTCAAAAAAAAAAAAAAAAAATTATTATACTCGTCGAACCCAATCAATCTGCATACTAATATAATAATGTATGTATTATAATGCTATATTATGATACTATATAAGAGGTACCTACTGTGAGAACATCGAATTTTTGTTCCAAACCGAATTGCAGTAGGTGCGTATAAATACGAGAAAATAAAATGTATAAATAAAGTTGCCTATTAAGTATATTATTATTATTCCTACTCGGTCATAAAAATGTATAATATTATAACGCTGCCTCACTGCAGTGGCAGTAGACCTCCGCAATGGCGTCAGTAATAATATTAATATGTGGGAAAAATAATAATAAGTATCTATATAGTATAACTCGTGTATAATGTTATTAAAACGTCCGTTTGGCTGTAGGTGTATTTAGATTTGTCTCCCTCGCCCGTCGGGGGACACGCGTAACAGCAGCTCGGAAACGCGATACTTGTAATGCGTATAAAAAACTTAAATTTCTTTGATAAATTATCTATAGATATACGAAACGATCGATTGAAAACTCCAAGATATAGATTCTGCAACAGTGTAGACGACGAAACTAATAATAAATGTTATTAAAACGTACGTTCGGCCGTAGGTGTATTTAGATTTGGCTCCCGAGCCAGTGGCGTCATTTCAGTTTTTATTAGACTCGGGAACTTATCCCGATAATTTTCCGTCTCAACATTTTTTCTCTCACATTCTCATAGCATAGTGCCATAGTAGTTAAGAGGAGGTGGGTTTAGTAAATGTGCTGACTTAAGGTTGATGTAAATACTAGATTGGGGCAAATGCCCCAGTTGCTCCCCCCCCCAAATTACTCGCCTGTCCCTCGCCCGTCGCGGGACACGCGTAACAGCTTGAAACACGATATACGTGTAATATGTGTAATATTGTGTAAAAAACCAAATTTCTTTGGCAAAATTTACAGATGGGCGAAACGATGGATTCAAAAATTCCAAGATAGATTCTTCAACAGTGTAGCCGACGAAACTAAGGTGTTTTATTATAAGTACCAGCTAAAGTAACCAGCAGTAATCTATCTATTCGGCCACTTTGATGCGAAGCAATCTCTGTGCCGCCGCACAAGGCCCGCCGCGGATAATAGATACCTATGGGAAAAAATAAACTACACGGGGTATTATTATGGCTGATTGCTACACAATATATTATCGTAATTAATTATTATACAATCAATTATACCTAATATTGGTCGTCATTAATTTTAGTGTATAATAATACCAGAAGAAAGTTTAAACTTACTAGACTTTCAAGGTAGGTGTAAAAAAAAAGCGTGCGAAGATTTAACTTTACGACCTAATAAAATAATACGTACCTACAGAGCTTTCCACGTGCAGTACAGCTAAGCATTCTGATGTTCATAATATCAGTAAATCTATATACCGCAAACTTCCAGAAATATTACCCCTAGTTTCTAAATCACTCAACGAAGCAATTGCACGAATTTCTAATTTAGTAATTTTAACAAATAAAAACGAAGAGTTTACATATGTTGATAACGTAAATAATATTATTTTGATTACATGCAAAACTAATTAAAATTTTGACATTTTTGGTGATGGTACTTTTACTTATAGACCTTCACATTTTTATCAAATGTATGGCATTCATATATATGTAAATGGATTTTATATACCACTTGTTATTGCGTTTTTGCCATCAAAATAATTTGAATGTTATCGAGCTATGTGGAACTTTATTTGTCAATTATGTACAGATAAACTTTTTCAACATATTTTTGTGGATGGTAATACCTAATTACCATTAGAAAAATACTTGACAATCAAAAATATTCAAATTATGAAATCAAAAAAAAAAAACAGGTAATAACTAATTAAATTTTGTTCATAAAAACCCTTTTAGACACTCAAATATTTATAGTAGTATTAATAGTAATGTGATAAATATAATATTTCTTAATGTGTCATTAATAAAACAAAATACTAGTTACTGTGTTATTGTTAGCTTTCATAATTTAAATAGTAAAGAACCAACCTAACCTATTTGAACCCTGTGTTTATGTATGATAACTATTTTTTAATAAATAAAATAGATTATTATCACATCAAAAAGATTAAAGCTGTAAGCTCATTGTGCTAAGTACAATTATTCATCCAACAACGTAAGAAACTTATATTTTAGTTTCATAGCCAGCCAATTTATCAATAAAGTCTTGTAATGGAGCCAATTCTATTTCATCAATTAGTTTAAATTCCTGTTGAAGAAAAATAACAATTATTAAAAATAAATTTAATCTATATTAATCTATACAGGTAAATTATTCTAAAAAATTAAATATCCATAAATAAGTAATAGTTCTTAATTGAACTAATAATCAACATAAATTCTATACATTACAGAATTACCTATATCATACAGGTAAAACACTACCAATGTTTAATTTTCAAATAAGTAGAATTAATACAGAAAATTCAAAATTATACAGAAGTTATATCATTTGGCAACTGCTATATTCATACAGTTCAGAAGTCGCTTTCTTAAAAAAGAATAACAAGTCAAATTAACGTTTCGATTAATTGAACTCATTTGGTTTAGTTAGTTTTAATGATAAATATCTTATATAAGCAGATTTATAGGTCAACTGAAAAAACAATAGGAAAATGACAGTTGACAATTAAATAATGAATAACTTATAGCTTATACAATTTGATAACATTTGTGGTGAGTCTAACTGTCCAATTGATTATGTATATGTATGATATAATATTATAGGTATTCTATAGTAATTTCAACTATCATACAATGAGTTATACAATTAGTTAGTACATAATTAAAGTACCTATGTATTTTTGGTGAATGCGACCAAAAATTATTTGTAGTATTTAAGTATTTTTGATTTTTAAATTAAAATATTTTTAAAATTTTAATATTTATCAAAACAAAATGCATAGATAACATAATATTATTGTAAATAATATGGCTCTAAAATATTATTTAGATTTTTAATTGATCAGGTGTTTTGAAAAATTAACTGTTTAAAAAATGTTCTATCTTTAAAATTTAATATCTTTTGTGGTGTGTCAATTAATCAGTTTGTTTGAAATACAAAATATTCAAGTTTTTTTTTTTACAGAAAAAAACGGAGAGAAGTTTTAAAATTAATTTTATTTACATATATTTCCATAGTAGTATAGTACTATCTTATTCTGTCAATTGTTTTAAGAGGACACTACACCCGCATGTGTTGTCTCTGTCTTACAAATGTACAACATAGAAAAAACGGTTTTGCGAGGGAAAGAACCGAGAAAGCTACAGTCATAATTAAGAAACGAGATTTTCACCACATAAAAAGGAGAGCTTTGTCTCTGCTACGTTGTTATTTTTTTGATATAATTTATATGAAAAAAATTCTCACTGTTTCAAAAACCATTATTGTTTGTGTTTTTCAAACTTGAAAAACTTTTTTCATATAAATGATATTAAAAAAATAAAAACAACGTAGCACAGCCAAAGTTTTCCGTTTTATGTGGTGAAAATCTCGATTCTTAGTTATGATTGTAGCCTTCTCGGTTCTTACCCTCGCAAAACAGTTTTTACTATGTTGTACATTTGTAAGACCGAGACAACACATGAGGGTGTAGCGTCCTCATAAAAGTAAAGTGAATTAACTTACCTATACTAAATTAAAAATAAAAACGGTATAATATGGTCTCTCTTTATAATTTTTCTTTAATATTTTAACTTTAAATTAATATACTCATAACTTGTTTTAAATTGAAAAACTGATGAGAAAACTAATTTAATGTAATTTAATATTAAAACTAACAAAACTAAATAGATTCTACACAAAGTAAATGTGCAATGTTAAACGTCCGTAAAAAAAAGACAGCAAATACAGGTGATCTCTTATTTAACCACTCAACATAATTAACATAATTAGTTCGTTTACCTGAACAAAGCAAATAAAATGCTTAAATGATGTGTTGATATGTGCTTCTTCGCTTAGCCTAACAACTGAATCGAAATGTGTATGATATACATGTGCATACACCCTGAATAACCGTTTAAGTATTGTTTTAACAATCGATAAGAAGTTCTTAGGAAATGGGTCACCGATTCTTGCAGGGAACAATGTGTCATCGTCCAATTGATCCTGAACCCAACTCATCAAATAATCAATGTATTTCGGAGCAGAACACTTAATTGGTTTGTTTACAGTCAGGCCATCTGCCCAATGATATTCGTATTTGGGTCCAGCAGACATTATAGAACAACTTTCCTCGGTGCAGAACTCTGTTACTGTGCCGTACAACATGGTTATTTGATTGAAAAAATCAACAGCTGGAACAAAATTTAATATTGTTAAATACTACAATATTTTAGACTAAATTACATTAGTATGTTGAAAGATAAATGTTATTAGAAACTAAAATATATATATATATATATATATATATATATATTATTCAAATTAATGATACTAGGTATCAATCTAGGTATAATCTGTAAATAAAAGTTATTCCTAATCAATTGTCTTACAAATATTTATAATAATTTAGTTCAATTAAATAGTTTTGCAAACAGGAATAAATATAAGTAAAATGTATTAAGTGTTTTGAACAATAATTTAAAATATTACGTTTTATATTTTTATTATTCCTAAAAAGAATAAAGTTTAATGTTTTATTTTTTGTAATAGTTCAAATAGATATTCTAAATCATATAAGCTTTGATACACACAAAGAAGTATAATGGAGCAAATATCAAATACATTTTAAATATAAAACATAAATAATGGGAACTTCAATAATATTTTGGTGAAATGTGTTCCTAGAAAATTTAAAGTTGACAAGATTGTTTATCTTATACATAAATGCATAATTATAACTTAACTTCCAATTATCAACAATACATTTTTTAATCATAATCCACCAAAAAATTGTATTCCAGAAGGAAATATGAGAAACATTGCTTTTTCCAATAAGACTTAAATAGTATAGTTAGTAACAATTTGTAGGTTAACTATAGGTAGTTGAATTAAAACCAAATAGTTATGATAGTGATAATATGGATTTTACCGTCTAAAAGAATCTAAGAAACAAAAAACTTTTCAGGCCAAATTAGAGCAATTTTAATTAATGAATTAGGTATTATTATGAGAAATACAATTTTATATCACAAAATAATACTGTATAATATAATGAGATAAATGTGTTTAATCTTTAACTATTTGTAGGTATTTAGATTTTAAAGTTTAAACTTGGAAGTAAATATTGTAACTTAATGATTTCAATATTTATGTAAATATTGTAGCTTCATGATTTCAATCTTTACGTAGATACTAGATATTTATAGTAATTTTATTGATATAGGTATTTACAAAAAATGAATGATGATGATGAATTTAGTTATTCACAGCCTTTAGTAATAATCATAAATTAATTTTAATGTATTTTAATAAGGGACTATTAGCAGATTAAATTTAAACCATAAAAAGAATTCTAAATATAAGTTGTTATATACGAGGAACGAGACCATTATTATAGATTAAAATATACAATACAGCGAGAAATATATTGTATATGTATCTATTGTAAAACAACTATTTTAATTTTAAATTTTATTAGTCATTTGAGCTCATTTTATACATATTTTGAACAAATATTTTTTAAACAAATAAATATTTACTTGAAGTTAAGAATGTGAGAATTCACATTGACACTTACTGTTGAAAGCAACCCATTCATTGATATTTTCACCAATTGGTAGTCGAACAGCAAATCTCAGATTGCTCGAACCAAGAGAGACTGACGCGTGTTTCATCAGATTGAATTGATTGTTACCTTCTGGTATTTTCTTCTTAGGTTTAAATGTCTTCGATGATCTAACCCTACTGCAAAAAAAAAGGGTTGCGACCGTTAATAACATGTCTAGACTGCCGGATGCAGCCAAAGAACATTGTTAAATACTCACAATGGGTAGCTCATTATGAATTTGCCTAGATGTCTCTTGACAAACAATCGCGATGAATACCCTCTCGCAACAATATGGACATTTACAGACTACTTCCACACTAAGACGATCATTAGTATTGTATATAGCGCAACAAAAATTAAGAATGTCGGTGGATGAGGATGAAAATATTGAGAAACAAAAATGAGCAAAAGAAAATATTTAATTCGTGGGTTACGTTACTGCATTGCGAGACCCAAACTCGATGTACATTAATTCAGATATTAACGACTATAGTGAATTATTATAGTTGTATTTTCTGAAAAAGAAATGCAACAAGCAACAGGTAATAACAAAAAAAATTGGGGAGAGAAAATAAAATTATAAGAGATAAGATGTATTATAAAATATGATAAACAGACTTTATTTTCTCGTGTCAAAGTTGGGATTGGGGTACTTGTCCCGAAATTTCATGGAGGAAAAAAAAAGATAAACGCCAACCGCCAAACGAGTTCAAATTTTCAATTCAGAATTTAGTATTCCTAAATGCGCCGTCTTGAAATTCATATTCAATTATGTATTTAATAATTCCCTCGTTTTTACATTTTATTGTTTTTTGTAACGGTTTTTGCGAGACGTTTTTCCCAGTTTCCCACTACCCAGTCACTTCACACCATCACGATGTACGAGCTACGAATTACGAACGACCAACGGGAAACGATGAACGAGTAACGATAACTATAGATCTACAGCTTTTGGACTCAGCACAACTCTTGTGAGATTTCCAAATTTTTGTGAACTGTTCCCTGTTTACCATTGTTTGCGTTTACGCCTTTTGTCGTTGTGTAAAACTTTGACCATAGTTCATACGCCGACTCTGTTCGTGATTTGTTGAAAATTTGACTATCGGTCATACCGCCGACTTGGTTCGTGATATCGTACGTCGTTCTAAAACTTTGACCATAGGTCGTACCACCTAAATTTAAAATTTTGACTATAACGTTGTTAGTGTTCTAGGTTGTTACTTGTTTAGTACATTTCATTTTTTGTGTTTGATTTTTCCTACCAACTTTTGGCGGTTCATCCCATTATCTTTGCAATAATTAATTACTATAAATATAACTACTAATTTTTTTTTGTATTTTTTGTGTACTCATTCTAGTGTTATATAATAATGATGAACTTCGAGGAAATAATTGCTCTCCCAGACAATTTGGTGGACCACAACTACTTCCTGGAAGTTGTATATGAAGTTGATCATAAAGTGCATTAAGAAGAAGTAGTCGAAGAAGTTGAGGTATTGGAAGAAGAAGAGGAAGATGAAAAAATTGTTGGAGTGTCAAAAACATATACTTTGATTAATGAAGTTCATAACAGATCGAGGATATAATATGTTGACAACTTGGGATTTATGTATTACAAACGACAAGTCCGAGTGTATGTATAATAGTTTATCCAAAATTATTATTTACCTATTTGATTAATGATAATTTATCATTGGAGATGGCCCTATTTGGGTTGGAGTAGATGAAACAACAGACGCCGACGGTCGATATATCGCCAGTGCCGCAAAAACCGGGTGTGCAGAGCGTGCCGCGCACACGGGCCCCAAGGTTTACATACATTTGGGGGGGCCCCGGGGCCGGGCCCAACCTGGAGCAAACACATAAATTGTCTAAAAACGCAAAATTAATTACTCACAATAATTTTTTTTTTTAAGTTTAAACATTAATGTAGTTGTATGTATACTAATATTTGATAAGTAGGTACCTATGTTAAAATAGGATGGTAGGTTTTTGACGTTTTTGTATATTATATGATCAATGGTACTATCAATTTTTCCATAACATCTATTTTTATCGCGTCTATGCGACTATGCCTCTATGGGTCGTTGTTTGTCGAATTGTCGGAAGAACAACTGGGCACTGGCTGATAGTCGAAAACGACGACGGTTGACGAGTGACGACGCGCCATAATATAAGTAATGTTATTAGTGTTTATTTATAAACTATTAAAATGTCAATATGATACGACTGATACGACGACCACGACTGTTTGAGTTGCTGGTTTTGGTATAAATATAAAATATATTTTGTAATTTTAATGATGAATATTGACGATACCTACTTTTTAATTATTATGTTCTTAGCACTGAGCTTAATATTGACTTAGGTACTAGTAAAGTAGTAACTAACGACTGCTCGGAGTATCATCATTTATCAGTTAATTGTTTAGTGTTTAATTGTTTAAGGTTAAGTAAATAAATTAACTTTTAATTAAGTCAACTTATGATTTTATTGAAAAGTACCGTGACGATATTAGTAGTGACTTCACGCGTCAAATAGTCAGTCTTCAAGATTTTTTTCTTTCAAAGGATAATACCACTAATAACAGTGACATTAAAAAGATGACAATAAAAGATCTATCATTATTTATATTAAAAGAAAATCTATCAACTATTTTTCCTGATGTATTTACGGCTACAATGATATTCATAACTATGCCAGTCACTTCTGCTTCTGCTGAAAGGTCTTTTTCAAAACTAAAACGCATAAAGAACTACCTACGTAGTACCATTTCACAAGATAGATTATCAAGCTTGGCTTTACTTAATATTGAAAGGCTGCAAACTTCTGAAATAGATGTAGACAATATAATAATAAATATTTTTGCAAACACAAAAGCCAGAAAAATGAATTTTTTACATTTAAAATTGAATATTTTGTTTAAAAAAAATTGTGTAGTTTTAAATTTTGGGTTTATTAAAACCTTATAATAAAAAGTCATTTAAAAATTTAGGCAAGGCTGTTAATTTTTATACTTACTATAATAAGAGCAATAAGATATTTATTTAAACAATCAGTTATTTATTTTAGCTTATTCTATACCATTAATAATTCTTATTGTTCTCTTTCAAACAGATTGAATAAAATGTAGGAACCAAAAAAAATATATACATGTTAGTATACATAAAACCTAAAAATGTTGGCACTTATAGATTGTAATACTTACAATAAAAATTAATTTAGGAAGGGGCCCAAAAAAAATATCGCACACGGGCCCCTTACTATATAGTTGCGGCACTGTATATCGCAAATGTTATTGTAGGAAAATTGAGCACTGAACCATCTAAACCATTTTATTGTGCTGTGAAGAATTAGATAAATGTAACCACAAAACTATATGTCAATTATTTAATAATGCAATGGGTGTTTTGTGGCCGAATGGTATAAAACACAATAATGTACTTTTACTTTTAACGGACGCCGCGCCGTATATGTGTAAGGCGGGAAAAGTGTTGGACACATTTTATCCAAGAATAATACATTTAACTTGTCTAGTACATGGTTTTCATCGTATAGCTGAAACAATTAGATTTCAATTTTCAGAAGTTGATTCGTTAATTTCCAACGTAAAAAAAATATTTTTAAAAGCGCCAAGTCCTATACAAACATTTAAAGATATGTACCCGGATTTAACTCTACCTCCCGAGCCTATTATAACTCGATGGGATACTTGGTTATAAGCTGTATTATATTATTCAAATAACTTTTAAAAGATTAGAAACGTTGTCTTAAATTTAGATCCCGAAGCTGCAATAGCAATAAAAAAAACTGTTGAGCTCATAGACAGTAAAAATTTGCAAAACAATTTAGCATTTATTTCGACTAATTTTGGATTTTTGGTTGATACTATTTCAAAATTAGAAACTTCTAAAATGCCACTAACGGAGAGCTTAGAAATAGTTGATAATGCCATAAAGCAATTAGAACGGGTTCCTGGAGAAATTGGAGTTTTGACCAATTCAAAATTAAAAAATGTATTGGAAAAAAACACAGGTTTTAATACTGTAATGTCAATAAGAGACATACTATTAAACAAAACTCCAAATAACAATAATTCAGAAATTGAATACACTCCAAAAGAAATAATGTGTATGAAATATGCACCTGTCACGTCCGTTGATGTGGAGAGGTCATTCAGCCGTTACAAAGCAATGTTAAGACCGAACCGCCGCCACTTTACATTTTAAAATTTCAAGCTATATGTTGTTTCTAACTGTTTCCCACATGAAGACTATGATGAATCAGAATAGATTTTTAATTTTTTTATATTTTTAATTAATTATTTAATAATTCTATGTTATTTTCAATTTAAATATTTAAATATTATACATTTATAAATAAATATTTATTAAGTAATAAACAAATATATATTTAAATATTTTTAATTTTATACTAAATTAAAATCCGTTCCCTAATGATAATTATATTATGTATTTATATTTTATAGGTATTTAGTATGCAAAGGGCAGAACCTTTAACAAATAGTGTTAAACTGCGGAACTGTTAGTACAAATTTGAATGACAATAGAATTCATCTAGGGTACTACTACCAAGGCTGGGCAAGTTAATGATTTTTTTTTTAACTCAGTTAAGTTAAAAGTTAATACACAATTTTTGTTAACTTTTACTAAGTTAAAAAAAAAGTAATTTGTTTGTACAAAGCTAGCGTACTTAATTTTTTTCCAACCCAGAACTAAATCCTAGAATATAGTGATTATACTTTATACAGTATTTCCATATAAGTTAGATTCGAACGATACACATTTTTAACTCTACAAAATTCAAAGTAAATATTTTTTGACATGAAAACAAAATTTACTGAAATAGTGAAATATAATAAAATTAAAAATAAAAGTAATTAATTTCACTTATTCTTAAAATCTAATTTTTCATTAATCCACATATTGGCTCAAAATCACACACTTAATATTTTTATGTTTATAATAATATATTATTAATATGCTGTTTAAGATTTAAGAATATCCTAAAGTTGAGGCTTTCAATGTAAGTGAACCGATCACCATTACCAGTATCTACGTCACAGAAATATATTATGTACTACCACATGTGGGTCATGGACTGATCAGAAAAGTTTAACATGACCCACATATGGGTCAAAGGACTGATCAA